CCGTGCGCGCCGGCGGCCGCCTGGCGTCTGGACTCGCTCTCCGCAGCGCCACGGCCCAGCCGCCTCCTCTCCGGCTGCCTGAGCAGTCTGCGCCCGGCGGCCGTGCGCCGGGCTATAAGTGGGGCGGCGCGGTGGGGTGGGGCGGGTAGGGAGAGGGTGCGTTTGCCGAGAGTGACACCAGGAGAGGGAGGGAGGAAGCGCCTGAAGGCGGCCCGCGGAGGAGGAGGAGAGGAGCTGGAGAAGAGCGTGTCGGGGGAGTTAATCGAGAGAGGAAGCGGGGGAGGGGGGGCTGCAGGGAGCGGAGACAGACAAAGCGGACGCGGTATCTCAGCCATTAGCGAGCAGCTGCAACCCTCGGGGACCGCGAGTCAAACAAGTTTTCCCGGGTTGGAGTGTCTGCGCCTCTCTGGCCCAGCCCGATTAATGGACAGCCCTGGAGCTTAGGGACCCTCGGCAGGGGAGTGCAGCCCCCGGCTCTGCGCTGCGCGCTTGGGAAGCCCGCGAGATGCTCTGGAAAGGGTGGCGAGGGGCGAGCTAGGGGTCCGCGACACGCGCCCTGGGCGTGCACAGCCTGCACGCTGGGTGGGATACCTGGCAGGAGAACGGTGGTGAGGAAAGGGGCACAAGTTTGGATACTGGGGACACTGCAGCTTGGTTAAAGCCGGACCGTAGGGTTTGTCGCTGGCAGGGGGCCAGACAGACCCCAGCCTCGGGCATTCTGGCCGTGCCCTCCTTCCCCACCCGCGGCGAGCAGCGGCAGCCGGGGCTGGACTCTGTCCCACGCCGCGGCGGGCAGCAGCAGCCCCAGGCTGTCCGGCGGGGCTCGCCCACGTGTTTCGCAGCCAATCGCTGCAGCCGCTTGATTCAAAGCGAACCGCTCAAAGGAGCGGCCTCGCTGCCTCCCTCTCGCTAGAGATAAAGCCCGGATCGCCCTCTCAGACTGGGCCCTTCCTGTTTTTTATCGCATGATTGTGATAGTTTGGAGTTCAGCAAAGAAATGGCCCGGCACACACATGTTTGACGCACTGCATGCCAGGAAAAAGGAAGGTGATTCGAAAAGTAACCTCGCATGCCGGTCACTACTTACGAAATCTATATTTGATCTTTGCACTATGGGCTTGTCTTTCTACCAGGAGCTAAAAGGTCTGTGTGTGTGTGTGTGTGTGTGTGTGTGTGTGTGTGTGTGTTAAATTAGGATATGGAATTAAATCTATGAATGAATTGTAGCAACTACCGGTCCGCCCCCCGCCCCGTCCCCCTTTACAGGTTAGGAAATGGAGGCCCAGGGAGGTATGAGTTGCCCATCTCACGGTCACACAGCCACTCAGCAGCGGTCCAGCACTGCAATTCTCCCATCCTCACTCCCCCACCTCCCCGCTTTCTTTTAAATACTAGACACCGAAATGATTTAAACAGGCCTGGTACTTCCTGAATCTAAAGACTGCTGAAACGAAAACTATCGGTTCTTTATTTTAATCCCATCTTCCTTTACCCGTGGTTTCTCCTGGTATTCGCACTGAGCAATTTTGCTCCTTGCAAGCAAAGACAGTGCACTCTGAAGTCCTTTGTTACCATTAAGTCGTCAGCCTCATCGTGAGGCTTTACAAATCTGTTTCATATTCTAAAGTTTTTTGCAGAGTCTCAGCTCAGACACTGCTTCACAAAGCCAGAGAGGCTGAATCAATTCACGCTAAGAACCCGGTGCGGTGATTGTGAGATCTGCGAGGTGAAGAGAGAAGTGCTGTGAGCAGACTCTGTCCTGAAGGAGACTTGGAGAAAATCAGCGAAGAGCAAACGAATAGAAACGCTGTGGACACCAGAGATAGGTGCTGTGGTTGATGGAAATGTGTAGCTATCGCACGCAGGTCTTTTTAAAACATGGCTTCTGTAGCCTGGCAAGTTGTAGGGGAAGCTGATCAGGGAGGCCTCAAGGCACCTCTTAGGAGCGCCTTGTCTGTCTAGGTGCTGGGTCCAAAGCAAGCACGTTGGTGAAGATGAAATGTTAATGTCTTCCTTTGGAGAAGATATTTCGTTTAACTTAAGAGATTAACACTTTCTCTCACTAAGAATTATTTCCTTCTACTTCAGTCACCAAATCTACCTAGAACTTCACCCAGATGACCCTGCCTAGAAATAAAACATGGGCATAGCTCAGTTGGCTGGGGATTTTGTCAGAGGAAGCCACTGAGCTAGGAACAGGCCAATCTGTGTCTTTTGCATCTTCACCAACCTGAAACTGCAATGTCCTTCACCAAGGGGCCAGCAAAGTTTAATTCTCTTTGAAAATACCTATGCTAAGTAAGCAGGGATGCTCTGTCTATTGTGTCATCATTATCCACTGATACCTAATGTTGGCATCTTTCTATGCTTCAAGAAAAGAGAAGGAAAAAAGTTGTAGCCTGGAAAATCTTGAAATGTACTCAGTTGACTATATACATTTGCTTCATCTGCCTCAGGGAGATAAGCAACATGAAGCAGGGAAAAGAAATTAGCTTAAGTAGGTTATAAAACTGGAAACCGGTTTCCGGCTGAGAAACAGGAACTAAACTTGCATTTGGGGGGAAACGTGTGTGCTGCCAATGACCTCCTACAAACAAACTGGTTTGCTTGAACCAATGTGTGAAAAGTTTTCATCCTGTGTACAGTTTCTAATGTTTGTTTCACAGCTGAAAGTGATTTGCAAGTTAGCCTATTTATGATCACAGCAACACAAACTGTTATTTTTCCAACATTTCTCGGCCAACCCTAAAGGTAATTCTTATCACTTCACTCACAGGAAGGAAAGATGGGCAAGTCTTATATATGTGCAGGAAGAACTCTCTAGACGAGCCTGTGACCAAACCGGACAACGATAGACATTGCAGATATCTGAGTCACCAGCAACTCGAGAAATGCTACAGACAACCATGTTATTCAATGGCCACCACCTCACTCAAGATGTTAGACCAGTCCTGTACACTCCTGGGAGCTGGTCTTCGCCTCTGCCTTGTGACACCAAACCAAGGTCTCATTTTTAATGCTATTAAGAATCTGTGCCCAAGGCTTTGGCCTTGTTATCTCTCTTAACAACGTTATTTTGTTAGGCTGCAAAATAAGCAGCATGGGGTTAAATGTATTAGCTGCCTTCAAACCTAATTTATCTTCATTCCTTCCTAATTTACACTCAGGCTGAATTAATGAGAATGATTTAATTAACATGGTGCGACTGTGGTACCAGGGACAGGACAGCTCGAGGGATTAGACCAAACAGTGGGCTAAGCAGCTGCCATCCTGCCTCCTGTGGTCCCCTGAAACCCCACCCGAATTTCAGACGTGTTCCCTGCCAGTCTTCCAAAAACGACCTCTTTGTTCTTTGATCTGCTTCCTGAATCTGTGTGAGGAGGATGGCGCGGCTTCTTTCCTTATGTTATTTGTAAGGTGGGCTTCAAGGCTGTGGCCTATAGAGTCAGTGTGCCAGAGGAGCCAACTGCCTGCCAAAGATCTGTGCTCTTTCTCCCCTAGTGTCAAATTCATGCTGAGAAGTGGACACCCAGCCATGGGCGACATCCCCCAGCTGTACTTATGTACTGGGATCAGCACCCGTGGAAGAAAAGAGAGGGAAGCAGGACGGGCAGAAGGAGGAGCAGAGCGGAGATGCGGTCTCAGTCAAGGCCCTGGCCTACTCCGTGTGGAGCTCTGAAGTGGAAATGACCCCGCAGAATTGTTTCCAGCAAAAGCGAGAGGCCAGGTTGATAGGGCTGCGTTACCAGCTGCCGAATGCAGGCTACCCGGGAAAGGCGCCGTGGCCTTGGCCAAGGTGGCATTCTCCGAGAGGCAGTTCTGCAGAGGGCTGACAGCTGAGTGCCTCCTGCTGCCAGCACCCCCCAGCAGCTGGGGGAAGAAGTCCTTCACGCTCACAGGGCGACAGCGCTGAGGGGCTCAGTGCAGTGCCCACTTCGACACCTCGCACTAACAAAGATACACAAAGCTGGGAAAATGAGACATCAGGTTTTATCAACCATCCCCTTACTTTCAAAAAGAGGGTTAATTTTTTTAAAAAATCTGGCTATTTATTAAAAAGACAAGGATAAGGAAAAAGTAGATAATCAATATAAGAAGTTATCAGCATTATATAAGCATTTTTCTCTCTGGGGACAAAAAGAGGTCTTAATTGATAGTTTTCTAATTTTTAATTTGCCACCTTCTGCATCTATGCCTTCTAAACTCCATTTGCATTAAATATCTATTATGATCAACCTTGAGAGTATTCTTAAAATTGTATCCAAATTGGCTTGGTCCGATTTTAAAATTTCAATTGCTTCCTACATCTATTATATGTGCGAGCACTTTTCATATATTTTGTGAATTAAATTGGGTTATAGTATGACTTTTAAATTTCAAATTCCAATTGTTCATTGCTGATATAGAATACAATGGACTTTTGTATTATGACTTTTAAGGGAAGGTTTTGTGTGAAAGTGTACTTGTGTCCTTTCATTGCTAAGCTCCACCATCGTATTGAACTCCTCTATTCAGGGTTGTTATAGCTGGAGAATTCATTTTTCCTTTGAGACTCTGTCACCTTATACAGCCCCAAGTGACATTGCAAGGGGTAGACAGTTTATTGGCTGCTTACAGGACTGCAGAGAGACACATTTGAGTCACTGTTCCTTGCTATTACTCTATAAAGTCTGGTCATTAATAAATCAAGCAATCAGTCTAAGCTGCTTGTGTTATTTCTACTCCAGGGCCCTTTAAGACAATGATCGTCACAGTCTGTTGTAGGTTATAAGTTTTAGGGTCAGGATTTTAAAGCAGCATTTATTATTTTCTCTCTGAGTACAAAAGTAATGCATGGTATAAATTCGGAAAAAATAGAGAAGTAAAAGGAAAAAAGTAGACCCACCCCTTTGAGATATTGACACTTAGCATTTAAATTCTAGTCTTTCTGTGTCCACATAGTATTTTTATTTTTAGCAGTTAAGCGGTTAAGGGCAGAGTCTCTAGAATCAAACCAGAATTCCTGCTTTTACATTTACTAGCTGGGTGTTTGGGAGCAGGTATTGTCATATCTCGGTGTCTTAGTTTCCCAGGCTGTAATATGAGATATTGACAGTACCTAGCTAAAAGAGTTGTTTTCAGATGATATAAACTAGCATATATGTTCAGCACATAGAGCAGTACCCAGCTATAGCAGTGGCACCTGCTATATAATGCTTGCTTTTATGATTCTTGAGTAAGCTGTTGAAGGAGAATGGTACTCCTGCAACCCCAAAGCTATTTCCTAGTAACTCTCCTAAATAAAGGTGACGCGAATCCTTTTCAAAGTTCCCATTTCCACATCTGCCCAGTAGCGCTGAGTTAAGGGGCACTTCTGTCTTGAATGAATTTACACACTGCCTTGGTGTGTGTATATGAGACGCTGCTCTTGCACACCCAGGAACCTGACAGCTTGCACAATAACAGCTCAAATGCTCAGGGCTTGCCTTTGCTTTCTTCCATCTTTTATTGATACTGTCTTCCTATTTAGTACTAGAGCCATGTGTCTTCAGGTGATGGAGAAACAACTCTGTACTCTTCACTACCTTAAAAAATTAAGCTGCTGCAAAGGGAAACATATTTAAGAAATAACACATTTTAAAAAGAGGCAGCTGCTATATTTAGAAGACCGCCAGGCCAAGACAGAGCCTACACGGAATATAGGCCCCTACAGTAGTGTCCTGAAGTCTTGTAGGGTGCCCTTGGTGAAAGCTCACTCATGTCTATCAGAATCGCACCCAGCCTCTGTGGGGTGTGGCCTTTCACAGCCCAAGGGCATCTTAACCAACCCGCACCCCATAATCTTGTGAGTGCCTCAAGGCTCCTGGATCTAAACTCTTAATTTGTTCTAAGTAATTACATTAAAGAATTGACCGTTGTTCCAAGCAGTTTTGAAAATGAAGGTTTTGTTTGGCCTATATGCTTTGCTACCAGGGCAAGATGCCAAGTCTCTGAGCATGTCTGGGCATGAAGAAGGACCCAGAAGAAGGGACCTTTGTGGTCTAAGAGCTTGTACCTTTGAATGAATATTAAAAGAATTTTATGGCACTCTGTGAGCTTAGTCTTTACTCACTACAGAGTTCAGTTTGGACAGGAGTCCGAAAAGAAAAAAAAACAAAAACAAAAAACACACAAAAAAACACAGGAAGCCGCAAGTTAACAGTACCAGAATGAAGAAAGAATGAAAAAGGAGAGAGGGATGGTGGCAACTGTGTTGCCTTAAAGTTCCCATAACTGTTTCTCATCATGATTTTGAAATTACAGCATGAGCAAGGATATAAACTTATATACACAAGCATTCACGAATTTCCCTTAGCCTCATGAGTAATTTCAGAAAGCATTCACTATGAAATCTCAAATAAAGTCGGAAGACTTGCTGTATCTTTATCTGTGGATATTTGGAAATATTAGGAGGAAATGGCAACATATTTAAAAAATTATGTATGTTTAAGTAGTTATAAATCAGTTTTTATACCCATAATTATCTGAGAAGCTGTGGTTTTATTCATTCATTCATTCATTCACTCAGCCAATCAATCAGTCATTCATCCAGCAAATATTTATTTATAGGCATCATATTAATACCTGGTGCTGGGGATATTCCCCAGTTCCACTAGGTTGTTTCCAGCCTTCCACTGTGATTTTACAATGTGCAGGCTTGGCTTGCCATCAGCGTACTTGTATTTGCATTTCCAATGTGTCTCCTTCCAACTCTGAAACCATGGAAAGAAGTCATATATAGGGAAACTTAAGAAGAATGAGGGGAAAAAGAACATAAACATAGGGCCAAAAAGGAGCTCAATGTCTGTCACCCTTATTAGACTGTTAGTCTAGAAGAGAAGCGAGAGAAGGCAGACCGCCTGGGCTGTGAAATGGTCTTCTTCAATTGCCATTTCCCACCCAAGGATTACGAGTAAAGCCATTATTGCCTCATTAAAAACTGGCCTGTTAAAAATGGTAAAGTGGCTCATAATGGCATTGGCCAAGAAAGGAAAAGGCAAAACTCACAGGCAGAAGTAGGGAGTGAGCCGCAACATTGCATCTTCCTTCCTCTTAAGACTTAAGTTTTCAAGATGTTCTGAGTTTTGTCACAGTGGGAGGAAACGTCGCAGGGCTCCCAAACATCGTGCATCAATCTCTTCTCCGTCTTTTCCAGGTCACTTATGCTGCCGAAAATAAACAGGAACACCAAGTTACACTGTAATTTTTCAGACAGTGATTTTCCAGGCAGATCCTTGATCAATTTCATCAGAATTCATTGTCTCTGTCTCGCGTATTTTAAAAACTCCATGCACAGTTTTGCAAAACTTAAAAACTATAAAAAATTTGTCAAGTCCCAATATTTTTTGTGTATGTCCTGCTACGGACAAAAGCTTTTTTTGTTGTGTTGGGTTTTTTTCCCCTTGCTAATTACCTAACAAATGAGACTGCCATCCTCAACAAAGCCAAAAACGAGACTCTGCAGCGCAGGACACAGATGCAGGGCTCCACAGGCCACAGTGCAGAATTTGGGTAAAGCAATAGTGCCCTCTTCTGGCTACAGTGAAGAACTAATTACAGAAGAATCTGACAGGATTCAAGATTAAATCCTAGAGATCTGTGCAGCAAAGTGCCCCTTATTATCAATACTATACTATGTGCTTAAAAAGTTGCCAAGAGGGTAGGTCTTATTTCGGGTGTTCTTATCACAATAATAATAAATAAATAAAGAGGTCAGGAGGTGATGGGTATGTTTATGGCATAGAATGTGGTGATGGTTTCACAGATATATACTTATTCCCCAACTCATAAGCTATAGACATTAAATCTGTACAGCTTTTTGTAAGTCAATCATATCTCAATAAAGTGGTTTCTTTTTTAAGTACAAAAATAAAAAATAAACCCAACGTATTGAAAAAGAAAGTTAACAGGATGTGTAAACCCCTGTGGAATCTTTTGAGCAGTGATGCAGCCCTAAAATAAGCAATGCCAAGTGTAAACCAAGGTCTGGCCATTCTGCGACAATGTAATGCCACTCCTGTGCTCTATAGACTGTCAAGTTGAGGGCGCAGTTGGGCCACCTGTCTCAGCACAGAGTGGGCAATCCCAGATGGACATTACAATGCCATGCCCCGACTTCATATGATGCTAATACAAGTTACCCTCAGGGCTGCTGGATAGAGACCCATTTGTCCACTGGAATGGTTTTGGAGCTAATAAGAATGACCAAAATCCCTAACATTTATTTAGTCTTATCATGTGCTAAGCACTATATGTGCCCATTTCATTTAATCTCCACAGCAACTCTAAAAGACTGAAGGTCTCATTGGATGAAGCCTCTCCTCTATTTTTCTGATTAGCTGTTTCTCTATCCACTGCAATGCCAGCTTTGGACACCTGGCACACATGCAGTGAATTTACAAGAGGAGAAAAAATGAATTTCTTGATTTACTTTGTTTCACGTTGACAGGTCTGATGAAGGTGTGACAAATAAGAAGCTGGAATCAACTGACTAAAATTATATGTTTTTTTAAAATTTATTTTTAACCATGTTTGAATAGATGTTTTACCAGATCATTCTTTCATTTTGGCACACTGTACGCACTAGAGATTGGTATACTGAGTCACAAACAAAATAATGTCTTAATCAAATTGCTTTTTGGAATTTAAGACATAGTTTCCTAAATATGGAATAAAGCACTGTCTCCCCAGTTATGGTTAAACTCCAAATACTGAGAGTAACATCTTCCACTTGCTTCAATCTCTACAGCCCCAGGGTCTGGGGGTGAAGGGGCAGAGCTCTGTGTGTCCTTCTGGAAGGATTTGGAGAGAAAATACAATGAAAAATAAAGGAAGCATTTAACTTCTTGACTGTATCCAGCAACTGAAATTTAGTTTTTAACTAAATGACATTATAGTTAAAAACTCAAGATATACATCTTTATACAGTTGTTCTTTGGAATCCATGGGGGATTGGTTCCAGGACCCCCTGTGAATGCCAAATAGAGGCTCAAGTCCCTTACATAAAATGGTGTAATATTTACATATAGCCTATGTACTTCCTTTAGTATACTTTAAATCATCTCTAGATTACATATAATACCTAATACAATGTAAATACTATGTAAAGACTTGTTATACTGTATTATTTAGAGAATAATGATGAGAAAAAATGTCTGTACGTGTTCCGATGTTCGATGTTCAGATGTTCCTGTATTGTAGGCCTAACCATATAGTACACATGAGCGACAACATAACATTTCTTTCCCAAATGTTTTTGATAGCTGGTTGGTTGAATCTGCAGATGTGGAGCTCAGGGATACGGAGATATGTTTTCCTGATGAGAAACAGAGTCAGAAAGAATAAATGCCATGCCCAGGGTCACATAGTTGCTAAGTGACGGTGTTGCAGTCTGAACACAGGTTCTTTCGGCCTCCACTAGACTATTAGACTACCTTTGTCTTTCTACCACCGTGTGTCCAGCCCCCAGCCTAGCACACAGTAGTAACGCAATACATATTTATAGAACGAATAAATAAATAACTTAATCAATGAATGAATGACTCTTCCAACTATCTCACAAAGAAATTTCCAAGGTACACTCATTGCTCTGTACTTGCTAAGGTAAGAAAATCTACCAAAGAATTTAAAATAGGTGTTCAACTTGGGCAAAACCTAGATGATTTGCTTTACACTATCTGGAAA